AAAAGAATTTGAGGTAAAATAAAGCAAAATCAATTAAACTTTGAAAAACTAATAATAGACTTTGAAAATGGATACAGTTTCTCATTGCCAACTGGTCAACTGAATTTAAGAGAATCTTCTCATCACTATCCACTATAAAATATAGTTTTCCTAAACTGCATAATTAGCACTACCATGTAATTCTGATAATTCATAAATATAGTATCTTGAATGATCTCTCAATAGAAACATATGAAATATTTCACAAGTTATATGTGAAAAACCCATACTAGTCATCAAATAGAAAAAATACCATGCAGCAGATAGTAAATATAGTAAGTCAAGTATGTCAATTGTGATCAATTTGTTATAAATTCTAAACTATATTTACAGGTGAAGCGCAAAGAATTGGCTCTAATGATAAGTAAGATAGTTTATTATAAAACTACAAGATTTGGCAAGATATTATGGGAATTACCTTTGGATACTATCAAAGTAAAAGTGATTTCATTAAAGAATTTGAAGAGTCCATCGTATCCAAACTTCATTGAAGGATTATTATATATAATCTTTGCGTTAAACATGTTTTTTGATATATTATCACAAGAGTCCAAAAGCAAAGACTTTTATATAAAAGTTTATGATATGGTTCATTTGAAAAGTGGCAAAATTCTGAGAACATCTGGAAATTTTCATGACAAAGAGTGGTTCAGTAATGTTGCAGTAACTTCAGCTGAAAACCAAAGCCATTATAGATCAGATAAAGATGCTTGGTATGGAAAGGTAAATACAACTTGAAGAATAGTAAAATATAATTTCAAAATTTAGCAATTTTGAATAAATTAACTTTTATATTTCCTTCCAAAAGATATTGCTCTTTCTACGGTTTTTTCAAGAATCAGCAAAGGACCCATACAATCTTGCTATGATTCGTTAGTATGATATTGTGTCAAATGAGCCAGAAAAGTACGGTTGCTCTCATCTATACTATACCAAAGAGTATAATATAATTCCAATAGAATTTATAGAACAAGAGGTACATATTATGCCGAGATTTGACAAAAAAAACCTTTTTTTGTTAAATAAATATATGTTTTGAAAAACTAATGGGCAAAGAATTTTAAAGTTAAATTTGTATCTATAGTAAACTTCAAAGAAAAAAAATAAATGATAATGTATATAATTGATCTTTTATCATTTATCTATTTAATTTCTGTCTAAAGAACTGTAATGATCTGTAATTATGCTAATCATTACAGTTTTTTCAGGTTACACTTCTTCAAAATTTTTATTTTCAGAGTTCTGTGCAGATTTTGGATTGGTGTAATCAAAAAATCAGTGATGATCAGCATATTTACTGATCATTGCTAATTTGATATCTATCAAATTTATCAATAATAGTATTATTAGTTTTGCTATAATAATTTTGTTAACTTTGTTATAATAATTTTATTATAATTATTATACTTGTAAAACTATCTAAAAATATCTATTAATAATATTATCCTAATTATTATTTAATAAAATATAATTAAATAATTATTCAATATAATATAAAATAACTAATATTAATAAATTATATATAAAAAATTTATATTATAATTAGTTTTCAGATTCTTAAATATTTTACTTTAAATATTTTTATAATTATTATTTTTATTATTTTTATTTTATAAAGTTTATCTTTTGCTAATATTTTAATACTTATTTTTTTTTTATATTATAATTATATAAAAATAATACATATAATTTATAGTTAACTCTGTAATAGATACTATAAATTATTACTATTATATATAATAATAGAAGAATTAAAAGATTCTGTAAAATATTAATTTATAAATTTTAATAATAATAAAAGTAATCTTTCTAACCTAAACTTACTTGAATAAGATGAAGATAAAGATCTAAATGCTTATACTGTTAGATAAGTAAAAAGCAAAAATATAAGAAGAAAAATATGATAAGAGCTTTGATAATCAATATCTATAATAAATAAAAGAATAATTTTAAAATAATATATATATTAACTTAAATTATTTAAATGAAAATAAATAAAAATATAATATCTGCTGATCAAAATTTTCTTAAACTAATTTAAATTTAACAATAATTTTTTCAAAAATAATTTAATTTTGATTGGACTTATTAATACAATCAATTTTGTGCTATCTTACTTGGCATATCTATATATTAAACCTTTTTGGTTGAACTTATTGATATAACCAATTTTGTATTGTCTTTATTAATAATCTGCACATTAAACTCAAATTAAAAATTAAAAATCTTTAAAAACTTAAAAATTTAATACTTAAAAACTAAAAATCTTCAAAAATACTAGAGATATTTGCTATTCCCAAAGCCTAAGTTAAAAAAAATATTTGTATTATCTCAAAAATAATTCTCAGTTAAAATAATTCAAAAATATGTAATATAATTTTAAAATTATAATATAATTTCTTAATTAATATTTGTTTAGGTCATTTAATCCAGAAAAGGCATCGTAATGGTTAAACGTTATTTGAATTTAATTAAGAGTTTAAGGCTTTTAACTAAAAAAAAGCATTGAGTTGATTAATAGTTTTTAGAATTACAATTTCCCAATTACTACGACCCAAAATAACACCTAATCCCGCAATTTCCCCAATTCTCACGACACAAGTTATTTTATTTTAACCCGGAAATTTTTTTACATAATGTTCCTAATTTCTCGCGTCAAACAATATCGGTAGAAATTGGCACAGACATTCAGGCTAACAGTCAGTCATTAGACTATTCCCTCTACCTCAACCCACTTTTGAATCTACGTAATCAAGCAAATCGGTAATAATGCATTTCAAAACTCAAATCTCAACTTTTTAAAGATTATGAATAGGAGTTAATAGAAAAATTAGTTAATATATTTAAGCCTTTTGACTTTGCTACTGAATATTTTAATATAAACCGAAGTTGGTTCCAGATAAACCTCTATTTGTATTACGACATACTGTACGTTCAAATACGTTATAAAGTTTATCATGAATATTCTCACAACCCTGATGATTGGTTTCGCATTAATTTTTAAAGTTATGTAGCTCTTCCTGACAGAATCTTTCCTCAGCCAGATCAACTTTTTCCGTGACATGGTCGGAAGTCATATTAGATAACTGTTTTGCTTTAGTTTAATATATTCATATAATCATGAGGCCACGACAAACTTCTTATATTTAAACGGCAGCAATGCTTTGAGTGAAGAATGATTGTTACATCAATGGAGCTATCGATATTGTCCGTTTGATTTTTGTTTCAAATTTATTCATGTTATACTACATGTAATTGCATTGATACTGTACATGTACTAGCCATTCCTGTAAGATTACATAACTGGATATTTACTAATTTTAAGGGAGCCCGAGAGCGACCTGTGAGTTCATGTATTTACTGTATTTACTAATTTTGAAGTGTATTGTCATTGTAATTAAAATTTTGGTTAGAGAAAATTTTGCAGTTTTCTTTATAGAAGGGATTTTCTTAATTATTAAGCGAAATAATTACAAAGCAGATTGCTACATAAAACTTGATTTTCTTGAGTACGACAAATACGTATCAGTGCATGTAGAATTTCGGTCAAACTTTACACCTTTTAACTTTGATAACGTGATACGAAAATCAATAAAAAGGCGAAAATCGCATTTGACAAAAAATCAAGACAATTGTAAAAATGTCTCAACAAATTAAAGCTATTATTGTTCACGAGCCTTTCGGCGAATTCAAATTCGGTTATGTCGATAAACCAACTCCGAAACCCAACGAATTACTAGTCAGAAACAAGGCTGTTGCAATCAATCCAGTTGATTGGTAAATTTATATTTAACTACATATTTTATTTTCCCCGGCTTTGTATTCTTATTATTTTAATTAATCCATTAGGAAAATGCAAAAATATAATGTCTTGGTTGAAGGCTACCCGATTGTGCTTGGTTGCGATGGAGCTGGAGTTGTTGAATCTGTTGGTTCGGAAGTTACTAAATTTAAACCGGGAGATGCAATATTCACATATCCTAGATTGGGAGAAAGAAATGGATATGGAACTTTTGCCGAGTATACATTGTATGACGAAAATTTAGCGTTTAAAGTAAGCTACATTTACAGTTTATTCTCTTGAGCAAATGTAATAAATTGTTGTACTTTTTCCTATTTAGAAACCCGAAAACCTTTCATTTGAAGAAGCTTCTACTATTTCTGTTGGCTTACTTACAGCAGCCCATGGGCTGTATCTTGGACTAAAATTGCCTCTTCCTTCCAAACAGCATAAATATGCGGAGCCTGAATATATATTGGTAAATCATTAATTGAATTAAATTTTCGCGCGCGTAATTCTCTAAATCAATATCAACACATTGATAATTAAAGATCTGGGGAGGTGCTAGTTCAGTTGGCGCATATGCCGTCCAACTCGCTCGTTTATCAGGTTTAACGGTAATTGCAACAGCTTCCGCACGTAATACTGAATATCTTAAATCGCTTGGCGCAGAGCACGTCATCGATTATAAAAGCCCCAATGCTGTCTCTCAAATCCAAGCCCTAACAAAAAATAAACTCAAATATGCATTTGATGTCATCTCTCCAGAAACTGCCACACTTGCCACAGAAACTTTATCTGATGGAGGAAAAATAGCTTGGACTGCAGGTGAACCTAAATTAAAAAGCGATAAGGTTGAAGCTATTCAAGTCGAGTTAGGCACGGTTTACAAAGTTCCAGATCTGTATAAAGCTACTATAGATCTAAAAGAAGAACTTGAACCGCTGATTCATAATGGCTCGATCAAGAATAATACTGTTCAATTGGTTTCTGGAGGTTTGGAAACTGGTGTTCTTGAAGCTTTGAAGCTTAATGAAAAAGGTGTTAGTGGTAAAAAGTTAGTTGTAACTATTGAGAATTAAGGTTTTTATTTTATTGTATATGTTCATACAATATGCAGAACATGTATATGAGATTTGTTTGAGATAAATATTAATCGGCGTGCTTGCCTGTATGTTGAATAAAATGTATCATTATTTAAACTGAGGAATTGCATAATACATTGACAAGTGCTATATGATATTTTGTTCTGATCTTTATTCTATTCAATCACAAGGTATTATACATGGTGACCTGCATCCTGGAAATATTCTTCGATTAAATAAAGATGAAGCTACAATCTGTGATTTTGGTGCTGCAATCAGACAGAATTCCACTAAGGAAAAACGCCAAATGTCTGGCGTGATGCCATTTGTTGCACCAGAAGTTTCCGAAGAAAGGCTTTCAGCATAGCATCAGATGTCTATGCATTAGGAATGGTTATGTGGGAGTGGTGGTCGGTAAACCTCCATTCGGTCAACGTCCTTTCGATGGTGAATTAACCTTAGCTATATGCGATGGCTTGCGACCAGAATTACCGGAAGGATTACCTAAATTTTACCGCAACTTGATTGTACGTTGTTGGGCATCAAAATCCCTCGCAAAGACCATCTTCTAAAGAGATATGCGACATCGTTGAAAAATGGTATCGAGGCATGATTACAGAAACGGAAAAACAAAAAATAGACGCCGCCGAGAAGTTTAGAATTGCAAATGCATCCAATTATGATTCCGAAGAAAGTTACACGACGCATCCCTTGGCCGTTTATACGAGCAAACTTTTACTGAATGTGAATCAGGAAGGTTTGTATTTTTCAATGTTTGTATGATCTAGTTCTATCAAGCTAATAAATATTATGTTAAGTAGTTCGGATAAATAAAGGAAATGAAGATATATTACGATGATGAATTTGAAAATCTATTAGGATATTAACGACTTGTAAAATCGAGGTTTAAGCCTGGACCGTAGCGTTCCGCCACAAGAGCGAAGCCGCATTTTAATCTTATTCAAATTGTGGTTCAAGATATAGTTTGGGGTCATGGTCTATTAACTAACGAATGTATCCTATTTTTCGTATTTTCGTGTAGAATTTTTTATTTAACATATTTGTTACATGTTTTTTAATTTTGTTATTGAGCAAATCCAGAGTTAGCTAGAATATATTCAATTAATGTTTGGAATGATATTTTGAATACATGTTGTATCTTGATTTGTGTTGATGTTTGATATATTTTTATCCGTCATCTAATAACTTTTACCGAATTTCTCAGGCCGAAAATAAGGCGTTGTACGCCTTACTTGGAACTACTGTTAAATTTATCATAAGAGAAGGCTACAAAGATTATCGTGACTGGAAACGCCAAAGTGTATCCAATGCTAAAGAAAAATCGTATATTTGATATATACATATTGAAATTATGATCAATGTAGTTCTTTCACTGCAAACATTTTATTACTCAATTAGGAGAGATCTTTAATACATAATAAAAATAGGTTAAACATGTTTGCAATGACAGATTTTTGTCATTTTCTTACTTTGACGAGAGCCAGAATAATTATGATCTCTAATATAGATGTAATGTACACTCACTGGACAAAAGTTTGGAATCGGGAAATGATCAGCAATGTAGGTCACGAATTTTGATATGACTTTTA